TTTTTAAATAAAATGTATCTTAGGTGATAAAGTAAGAGATCTGACATGAAGAGTAAGCCACTTTCTTGATACAACTAATTTTTCTGGTAAGCAGAGAAGAAATGCGTATTTGGAGTTATTTTTAAATAGAACCCTCTAGAATTAAGGAATTCAATGTGATTGCTCAAAATTCAGAACATGGACCATTATGAACCACTATACCATGGCAAAGAAGTATTTTATCATTTCCGTCATTTATTTTTTCATGCTCTATTTCCTATCAGACACCTTCATTTGACAGAACATTTATTGAGCATCAATTGCCAGGTACTGGATTAGGAACTAGAATTATAAAGATAAATTATTTATAATTTATGTTCTCAAAGACCCCATAGTTCAATATGGGACACAGATAATATAGGCATGTACTTACTATTTTTATTCTTTTTACGTGTATTTATTTTCCTGATGATAAAAATAATACATGCTTATTAAAGAATTTAAAGTGTGCTAAGTGAAAGTGATCCATAGGGCAAGGGAATAGAAAGAATTACCAACCTAGCTATGTCAGAACATTCAGGATAGAATGTCTAGGGGAGGTGGCGGCTTTGCAAAGACACAGTTGAAGTTGGGAAAGCAAGAAGGGAAAGGGAGGGAGTAGAGAATTCTAGACTGAAGTAACAACACGAGAAATGTATGGAAACACAAAAAGGTATAATATGAAATTACAGTTTACTATAGGAATTGTGTGCAAGGAGTGGTATGAGGTAAAAATGGTAAGATGGGCAAGAGCCATATCATGTAGACTATGTAATCATGTTAAAAATGTGAACTGTATTCCAGAGCTAGTGAGGAGCTATTACTCAGTGTGAAGCATGGAAATACCATGGTCAGATGTTCATTTCAGATAAATTCTTTCCATACCTTTGTAAAGGATGGAATTAAAGCAAACAAGCTGCAGCAGTAAGGCCAATTAGAAAAATATCAATCTCAATAAGAGATGTTGAGACTCAGAGAAAAAGAAGCAGAATTAGGAAACATGCAGGAGGTTAAAGTTGGTAGGTTGACAGATGGATTGGCAAAGGAGAGGCCAACAGCCCCAAACCTAGTTTTTCTAGCTTTGGTGACTGAATAGATGTAGTATTTTGAGTTGAAATAGAAAATTTATCCATTGGAATTGAACAGAGGAAAATATTTAGGGCTTCATGATTACTTTTGTTTTTCTTTTTGTTTTTCTTTTTTTCTTTTTTGAGACAGAGTCTCACTATGTTGCCCTTGATAGAGTGCTGTGGTGTCCCAGCTCACAGCAACCTCAAACTCTTGGGCTTAAGAGATTCTTTTGCCTCAGCCTCCCAAGTAGCTGGGACTACAGGCGCCCGCAACAATGCCCAGCTATTTGTTTGTTGTTGTTATTGCAGTTATCATTGTTGTTTTTCATTCTTTTGAGTTTGGGATATTTCTGGGACATCTAAGTGGAGCTGCCCACCAACCTGTTAGATACTGGAATCAGATACTAGAAGAGAAATCAAAGCTGAAATCATGAGAGTAGATCTTCCAGGAAGAATAAACAGAATGAGAAGAACAGAATAAAGTCCAGAAACACCAAACATTTAAAGGACTGATAAAGGACAAAGCAATGTATAGTGCCAAATGCAGTAGAGAGGCCCACTAATTTTAAAACTAAACCATTTTCTTTGGGTTTGGCATTCTGGAAATGAAGAACAATTATAGTAAATGCATGGTCTGATTCTGATAACCTGATTGAAGGATAATAATGACAACAGTACGGTGGTTCTACTGTGCTTATTCACTTTATCTTACTTAGAGGTTGATTTCTTCTTGCATTATCATCTGTTTATGATCTTTTCTATCTTCACCTTGTTTTTCTTCTTTCTTTGATAACTTCATATCCCATCTTTTTGGGACTCTTTATGATGATCAAACAATTTTCAATCCCAGATTCTCAGGGGTCCTTGTTTCACCACTAAATTCCTTTAGAATACTCATGTCTCTACTTCAAGAGGTTGGAGATCATAAGCAATGACATGGGTGTGTTCATCAAGTTTTAGAGCCATCTTTATAAAGGAAGCCTTTATAATCTCCTCTTGAGGAGAAGCTGATATTTAAGCCATAGATGGTGAAGCTTTGTTTTGAACAAAGTAATCTTTGTATAAAGCATTTTTAGCATTTTTGGCCTGTAGCCTTATTTAACACATTATAATATATTGATTAAAGTTCAGTAAGAAGAACATCTCTCTGAGAATTATATTCTGAGATAAGACAGAGGTTCATATTAATTATAAGTTCATAATTATTTGGAAACACCCTCACCACCCATATATCCTGAGAGAGAGAGAGAGAAAGAGAGAAAATAAGATTAAAATAACCAGAAATGTCAAATACCCAGAATTTTTTTCTAAATTATCTGCTCTACCATTGTAAGGACCACATGGCAAATCAGCTTTTGTTAATTTATTCAGCAAAATAGATTCCAAATTATGTCACAAGATGGACAAAAATTCCATCCAGTCTCTCACACTTTCTGTATTAATAGAATTATGCAGTACTTCCATGGTTTATAAAAATAACTTAAAATATAGAAATGCTTTCAGAATCCTTAAGGAAACATTAACTAATATTCAGCATAGTATAAATGAAAAATATAAAAATTAAATATAAGAATATATTTAATTTTTAATTAGCAGTATATGTGATAATCCTGTTAATAAACATATTCCATTAACCAACCAACCCATCCATCAACCAATTTGAATAACATTTTCCTGTTAGTTTTTTTTTCTTACCATATTTTTGCCTCTATGGGTTAACCACATAGAGGAATGCAGGCTGGCTTAAACAATTCATCGAAGGTACTATCTCAGATTCCAGTGAGATACGTTATTAGGGTCTCACTGACTAATTTTTTATCGGTTACATAAGCTGTTGCTTCTTTTTGCTGCCAGATATCCGTTGGCAGCTCCATATTAATCATTGTCAGAGGCTGCTTCTTTTCAGGATGCTGTCCTTTCCTCACCCATGGTCATTTATATTTCACATTCACTGCCTAAAAGGAAAGAAAAACCAAAAAATGAAAGTATGTTTGAAAACAAAGTTTTGAATTTTTACATTTTGCCATGTCTAAATAGTTTTAAGAAATAATCAGCCTATTCTTGTGCTTAGAAATTTCTAGATGCTTTGACAATAGCTTTGTAACATGTAGTAGTTTAAGCAATGAAAGAATTAATTACTTATCACTGTAGATGCTCTTATTTCCATTTATGAAATTAGAAATTTATCATTTACAGTTGGAGAATAATGTTAGTACAGTTTACTTGCAGCCATTATAATGTTCACCTGCCTTGGAAATTAAATATGCAATACTAATTCTTAATATCATCATTATAATAGTCATAATTGGAGATTTTATAAATAATGCCCTATTTTATATATTTCACTTATTCTAAAAATCATATAACATATTTTAGATAATTTTAAAATATATTTTTCTACCATATTTATTGTCAAATAGTTTCAAATTTTTTTCTTGAATATATACCTTTTTAGACACCTAGAAAACTATGTTCATTATTAATGTAATATCATTGTATGTACATTAATATGGCATGTATAGAAGCTTTTCTACTGTAGAAAGGATTATGTTTGAATAATTTAGAGTTTAAAACTTTTGAATTTTCTAAAAACCTATGAGTAGTCACAATTTAGGAAACTAATTTGTTGTCATCTGATAAAGATATGCATGCCAAGAATTCCAGTCCTAGATATATACCTTAGTCAACTTTATGCACATGTACACCAAAATACATGTATTAGAATTGTCCTAGCATCAGTGTTACTATACTCAAAACATTGAAACAAATCAAATATCTACTCTTAAAATGTCCAATACTAGAATTTTAATTAGACATTAAAATGGCTAGATTGGCT